TAGATAAATGGGGATGGAAAGAGCCTTTGCTTTGGGTGATGGGTGCATGATGCAGTATACAGATGATATTTTGATGAGTTGTACACCCTAAACCTGTATAGTTTTATGAATCTGTGTCATCCCAATAAATACAATTAAAAATGATGGTGAATTAAAATAGTATACTAGTATCTATTTAACATAAAATTAAACTTCCCAATTAAAAGAGATTTGCAGACTGGATAAATAAATGTGTTCTAACTATTGACTTACGGATACAAATTGTTGAAAGTAAAGGAATAAAAAAAGATATGTAAATAGAAACCAAAAGGGAGCTGGAGTGTCTATACTAAAATAAGTCTGAATACACTTAAGATAAAAATTGTTATGGGAGATACAAGAAGGATATTATATAATGACTAGAGGCCTGGTGCATGAATTCGTGCATGGGTGGGGTCCCTCGGCCTGGCCAGCGATCAGGCTGATTGGGGCTGCTGGCTGGGGAGGGACTGTCGGAGTGCTCCGGAGCGTGTCCGGTCCTTTCACCCAGTCCCAGTCGGCCAGACCCCAGCAGCAAGCTAACCTACCAGTTGGAGTGTATGCCCTCTGGTGGTCAGTGCGCATCATAGGGACTGGTTGAGCAGTTGACTGAACAGTCAGCAGATCTTTCAGATACTTAGCACAGTGGTTGGCAAACTGCGGCTCACGAGCCACATGCGGCTCTTTGGTCCCTTGAATGTAGCCACGAAGTTTCAATCGCACTGTATGTGTGCACCCGCACGTGGTATTTTGTGGAAGAGCCACACTCAAGGGGCCGCAGTTTGCCGACCACTGACTTAGCATATTGTACTTTTATTATATAGGATAAAAGGGTCAATCCATATAAAAGATATAACAATTATAAACTTGTATGCACTTAACACAACAGCAAAATACATGAAGCGGAAACTGACAGAATTGAAGGGAGAAATAGTTCAACATTAATAGTTGGAAACTTCAATATCCTACTTTCAGTAATGCATAGAACAACTAGATAGATGATGATCAAGGAAATAGAAGACTTGAACATCACTATAAACCAACTAGACCTCAAAGACTACAGTTAGAACATTCTACCTAACAACAGTAGAATACACATTTTATTAAATATCTTTCATGAATAAATTGCACATTTCTTCATTGCCTATCTGATAACAGATCCCAGGTGGTGAGTGGGATGATCGTGACATTTAATAAAATATGCCATGTTATTTATTAGTAATAATGGCAGTTTAATGGAAAAAATCAGAAAATGTTAAAACTAATTCTAAAACTCTTTAAAAATATTCTTTCCTCCAAGTTAGCATTGAGAATCTTTTAATGCTCATTCATTATTTTTTCTCTCGTTCTGTTTATTTTTAATGGGAAAATATTCAATATTTTATTTTAATAAAGTAATTTTACTAATTTTTAATAAGATGCAGTAATTTTAATACATTTTAGAACGATAATAGCTATTTTTCTGGTAGGGAAATTTTTAGTTTTCTTTTTTAATATGATAAAAACTAGGTAGCTTTTTACATTTATCTGAAAAGAGAAACGTTCATGTAGCAGAACTTTTTTGAGCTTGTAGATCAGAGGTTCTTTATATTTTCAAAGGAATTTGTATGGGATACAAGTTAAACTTGAAATTTGTGGCACATGTTAATTTCTTTCAGGAGAAGGAAGCCAACACCCTTTTGGAGCCATGAATATTGTCCGAACTCCATCTGTTGCTCAGATTGGAATTTCAGTGGAATTATTGGACACTTTGGCTCAGCAGACTCCTGTAGGTAATGCTGCTGTATCCTCAGTTGACTCATTCACTCAGGTAATGCAATGCACATTTTATTATTTTCTAAAGTAATTAAAAAATTCTATTTTATACTTTAAAAATTAGCCTGGTGGTAGGAAACATGTAAAAATGAAGGTAAACGTACAGGGTGGGGCAAAAGTAGGTTTACAGTTGTGAGTATGTGAAGCAGTTTATTCTTGTAGTATTATTTGTTATTCATTGTATTATTTTCCATAAGAACAACTATAAACCTACTTTTGCCCCATGACAGAAGTTATTGGCTTCCATGGATATTTTCAGTTCACCTTCTTTCTCTATAGGTATTTTACAATTTGTAAATGCTTTTATGAGACTTAATGTTTTTATGGTGATAAAAATAGGTTTACTTACACATTTTTCTCTTTTCCTTTCATAATTAGCATGCTAGACTGTGAGAATATATTTGCGAGCCTGATAAGCAAGATGCCTGTCCTCATGGAACTTAAAGGGGTATAATTCTATGAGGGTTGATTTTTAACCTCTGTATGACAAAGGCCTTAAGGGGAGGAGGATCCAGACAGAGGTTTAGCAAGTACAAAGGCCCTGAGGTAGAAATCTGTTATGTTTGAGGAATAACATGAGGGTTTTTGTGGCTGTAGTACTGTGAGCAGAAGTGAGACTTGGGAGATGAGGTTGGAGATTATGGGTGAGATTGTTGCAGGATAAATCATATGGAACCTCATTGTCTTTTGTAAGAACTTATATTCTGCTTGGAGGAGAAAATATAGGAAAGAGAGTTTTAAGCAGAAGAGTAATATGATCTAACTTACTTTTTAAAAATATGTATATTTTTATTGATTTCAGAGAGGGAGAGAGCGATAGAAACATCAGTGATAAGAGAGAATCATTGATTGGCTACCTCCTGCCTACTGGGGATTGAGCCTGCAAACTGAGCATGTGCCCTTGACTGTAATCGAACCTGGGACCCTTCAGTCTGCAGGCCAACATTGTGTCCACTGAGCCAAACCAGCTAGGGCATAGCTTACATTTAAAAGGATCACTTTTGCATCTTTGGAAACTAGTGGGGCAAAGATATAAGAAGGAAGATCAGAATTCTGGGAACTCTTGTGAAAAATCTATATGAGAGATGATAATGACTTGAACCAGGGGGGTATAGGAGGTAGAAAGTAATTGATTTCTGGAGATAATTTGAAGATGGAGCCAGTAGTGTTTCATGGTAGGGATCACATGTGAGGTCTAAGATAAAGGGGGACATTAAATTATTGCTCCAAAGATGTTGTCTTGAGGAATGGAACACAGAAATATTGTGAAAAGTATGGGGCTGGGAATGGAATCAGGAATTGGATTTTGGTCGTACTGTGTTTGGATGTCTGTTAGATATCCACTTCAGATGACAAGTCTAGAGTTCAGAGAGAGGTCTGGGATAGAGATCAACATTTGGGAGTCATCAGTACAGAGATGGTATTTATAGTTGCAGAGGTGCGATCACTGGAGAAGTAACTGTAAATAGAATAGTTGGCCAGTGACTGAGCTCAGGGCCATTTCAAAGTTGTGAAGCTTAAGAGATGAAGAGAAATAAAAGGAGTAGGTTGAATGAAATAGGAGAAGACCTAAAAATTTTGGAAGCCAATTTGGATATGCCAAAGAGAAGTCATAAAGTACTTCTTTTAAAGTGAAAAGGTGAAAGTTCTTTATTTAATAAAGGACAGAAATCATATGCTGAGGTGGCTAAGATCTGTGGTAAGAATGAATGTTTTATCTGTGAAATTGCCTAATTTATAAATTAAGCTTTATCAGGTATATATGTATAGGGAAAAAATCATAGTATATATAGGACTTGATACTATCTGAAGTTTTAGACATCCACTGGGGATCTTGGAATTTAGCACCTGTGGGTAAGGCAGGACTACTGTATTTGAACTTTTTTATAAAGCATATGCATTTTTTATTAAATATTTTATTACAATATATATATTAAGTATACAGAAAAGTACATTCCACAAATATTTATTGTGTACTCACTGTGTGCCAGGAAAGTTTTTTCTGGTATATTACTTGTCTTTTAATATAGTTTATAGTTTCTTTTGCATAGACACTATATATATATATTTTTTAATGAGAGATTTACTTTTTTTAATGTATTTTAAAAAAATCCTCACCTGAGGATATGTTTATTGATATTAGAGAAAGGAAAGGAGAAAGAGAGAGAAACATTGATCTGAAAGAGAAACATTGATTGGCTGCCTCCCATATGTGCCCAGATGGGACCAAACCCACAACCTGTATATGGGATGATGCTCCAAACCACTGAGCCACACCAGGCAGGGTGAGACATAATATATTTT